AAAAAAAAAAAAAAAAAAAAAAAAAAGATTCGGGTTAGGGCTGTGTACAGCCATAAAATAATTAAGAGTCGTTTAGCATTTAGTGAACAATAATGAACATGGCTCGTATTGGACACATCGACATCGCTTAAACTAGTTTGCTGCTAGTTGTTATAAGTTTCTAAATATCAGTATAGAAAATTGTAAATATTATTGCACAAATAGAGTCCATAGTCATGTATATTTAGTATAATTTTAGACTTGAATATATACACAGTAAATTGGATAGGGCGGTGTTGGCCCTACAGTGGCCTCCTTAAAGTAGTGCTACTTTGGCACTACTGGTAGATAGGGCCATTTTTTAGCTCTGATTTTGGGACTGTTTTAGCCCCTCATATGGATTTTCCCCCTGATTTGGCCTAGTTGAGGGGGCCAAAACAGTACTGATAGACCCATACCAAAATGGCTTCTGTGGGGCCAAAATGGCATTGTTCTATTTTGGCCCTAGCCTGGATAAAATAGCACTACTTTGAAAAAGACAAATGGCTCTCTGGGGCCAAATTGGTTCTCTCAAATTTACTGTATAGTATGGCACAGGCGTGTTTTCAAGAAAACCACTTGTGAGCCTTTTCAATCTCGTACCCACAGCCCGTATTTCTTACTGCGCATGCTTGACGCAGTATTTTTTGGTTAGTTTCATATTTAAATTTTCCAATTATTTTATTGCATTTTTTCTTCTTAAGACAAATTAGGCTTAGGGCAAACGTCGAACTTTCCATGTACCGAACTTAATTACATCAGAGAATGCCGCCTCCTTATCACCTGATAGCCATTGTTTTTAATGAATTCGATGATCTGTACACGCAAAAATAACTTGGAATAAACTGATAATCGCTATTGTACAGATAAAAGCAGGTATAGCATAAATTTAATTAAGAAACCTTTCAATTTGGGACAAATTTTTGATTGGTTACCCCCCAAAGACTCAAGGCATTATGGGGATGTGAACTAGAGAATGCTGAATGGGCCACCCTGTTGAAATAAAGTTATCTGATCTTGTCTTACCTGTTGGTCTTCCTGTACCCTGTATTGGTAGCAAAGTACTGGATCCGAATACAATAACTTAATGGCGGCTTGCTGTGGAGAGACTACGCGCTCATTTTTTAAATTATTATTTTTCCCTGCTCAAAATTCTCTCATTTTCTATAAACAAAGGCCTTCAAAATTATATCTTGCATGTATTTATAAACATTTTTGCTCCAAAACAACGTCAATTAATGAACAGGAGAAAGGATTTGGTTCAAATCGTGACGAGAACTGCCAAGAAACGACGGGGAAAAATTTGAATCTTGTGGTGTCTTCTTTACGAGTTGATAGAGTTGCTGCTACAGGATTTGGCATTGGAAGAAGGTAGGTTTTTAGTTTATAAAACTGCTGGTTTTCAATCATTACCAGGAGAATGAAATAACATTTGACCTTGATATGGCGGCCATATTGGATATGATAATAATCAAAATAAAAGACAAATCTTTTGCCACATTTAACCAACATGGTAAATGACAAGGACATGGCGACCATGTTAGTGGTATTATACTACTGTAACAAAAGGATCTAAAGAGATATCTTTTGTAAAATAGCATCAGCATGGCTTCCATGATGAAATATGCGTTTTAAGAATATCGTAGGGGAGTTCTAAAAGATAACATAAAAGCTGCATAGTATCGCTTCCCCAAGAAATTAGATTGTTATTATTGTCACAGTGTTGGAGTGTTGGTCCACTCTGGTGCTTAACTAACTGAGCAAAGTGCAAGGCTGCAAATAATTTTTTGACAAGCAGGTCATTTGTCAGGCCAGAGGCATATTTGACCTTGTAAAGAACAACTGTGATTGGCCAAATGTCTGGCCAAGGCAAATCATTTACTAGTCAAGTGGTCATTTTTCCTGAACATTTGTCTGATGACTGGCACTTGTCTGTAGTCTTGCAAGTGGATGGCATCACCGGATTGTGAGGCTGACGCTATGACCACTCGACCATGCTGCCTCCATGTTCTTCAGAAGCAGGTCTAAACACAAGTCATTCTAGCTATTCTTGGATCTTGAAATGACATATCTTCTTTCTGTTTTTGCCTACTTTCTATCGCTTTTGGAGATGAGGTTTTTTGAAATAGGTGAACATGTACGTATACCAGTCTAGAAACATCGATTATTTTTTTAAACATTTTCCTGCTTGTTTTATTGTAGAAAATTGGACCTTTTATTACTGGCTGGTAAATTATACCTAAACAAAGATAAAGTGGAGAAAAGATCACTTCAGGTATAGCTACATATGCATCATGTTGAGGGGGTGGGGTGGGGGAAAGAGGATTGTTTCCTGACCCTACCTCCCCAGGGAATCTGGTAAAGAAGTCCTTCTTCTACACCCTGTTAACCTCAGTCTCCTCCTCTATAAAAAATGGATGCTCTCTAAATTGTCATTGCTTTGTTTTAATAAGGTAGGCTAGTGCTAAATAGTCTGCTACGCAACTGCTATTAGTGTCGTTATGCAATGCTCACTCCCCTAATAGAGTGGCTACATAGGAGACTAAGTGTTAAATTGCTAGTGGCTAATTCTATCACATGACCGGAAGTCAGGAGATCCCATGAAATACCACAGCACTAGCGCAAGTTGTTTTATTTTCCATTAACTTGTAGCCCTCATTCCATTATTAAACTATAATTTAGAAGTTGAATTTTGTTGAGGGAGGAAAACCAGAGAACAAAGAGAAAAACTGATTTGAACCAGAAATTTAACCTAGCATGAAGCACAGGAGAGAACGAACAAGCAATTCTACCCACATATGATGATGGGTAATATGAGCTTGTAACCCATGACAATAGTGGAGAGAGATATGGCACTATGGCAGTGCACATCACCAGTGCTTCCCTAAAGTTTTCCCAATTCAGATCAGGGGAGCTTACCATTTACACGGAAAAACCGGAAATTCCAGTTGGAAAACAAATGGTATGGATCATTCCAATCAGAACGTCCAAAAAAACCCAGTCTTCAGTTTGAATTAATCCACTTCAGTTCCTGCTCTTTTCAGTTTTTCTGGAAGACGCGTGTACCATTTGTCTGAAGTATGTCCAATTATAATATCATTTTCCACTTGCAAAAAAATTTCCAACCGGACGGAATGGTTTAAATGGTTTAAATGGTAAGCACTCCAGGTGTCAGGGCTTACAATAATGGCCAATCAGTTGCCAGTCATGATGACAGGCCAAATTAGTTTTAGCTTAGTAATACATTATTTCTGACAGCATAACAGGTCAAAATGAAAGGCAAGATTTGTCTGGACTTGTAAGTCCCAGTTCTGGTGGGGAATTGCTTGATGTTATTTTAATCCCTGAGGTGTTATTTCTGGTAAACAATCTTCAAACTGTTGTTGAATAGTTGACGTCACCTAAATTAGATAAGTTAGTTACTATTTTAGCTGACCTCACATAAATTTGAAACTACGAGTAAACAGCTACTGAGATCAGGGAGAGAAACGATGATACAAATGAATGTCTTTTCACTCATTCTCTGGTAAAACAACCCACCGGATTAGCATGACCGTTATTTGGCGTGCCTTTACTATTTTAGGTGACGTCAACTAAATAGTTATCTAAGTTAGATACATTTATCTAACTATTCAACAGTTTGACTGAATGCACTCTACAACAACCCTTTGACCGTCTTGCAAGCTCCTCGATCCTTGTCGAGGGATGAATATTTCCATGAGCTCCATGTTATTGAAATAATGCTATGATTATTTTAAGGTGAGCTGTAATGATATTCTTGAACTGATTACAAGAGAAAAAACGGATCCACAAGACGGAGATAGCAAAGTTTACCTCTCAAGGCTAATAATCAATGAAGTTGGACAGACAATGACTAAGAAAGGAAATCTGCGGATCTCTCTGACAAGACACGGGAACATTGCATTATATAGAGAATCATTCAACCAGATATACAGGAAAAAAAAGTATTGAAGAAAGATAAGGTAAATAAATAGTAAAATTAGAAAAAAATAATTTTAAATAAAAATAGATTGGTTTTAATGGCATGGGCGTTAAATGTTTTCCCATTGCAGACTATGGTGTCATTCTCTTGAGAAAAATTCTTTGTTTGAGTTGTGTCCATCCTATCTCCGATTAGTTTTAAGCTAAGGACACACGGTGCAACATTGTGCACCATGTTGCATGTAATTGAAGTTGCGAGCCATGACACACGACACAATTTGTTGCTGTAGTAGAAAACTATCCTACTTCAGTAACATTGCATGCCTGCAGTGTTGCGCGCAATAGTGCACCGGTGTGTCCGTGCCTTAAACGACTTGTGGAACTTTAGATTTTAATCATATTAATAAAGTCATTGATCAAGAAAAAAATAACTAATTAATTAATTAATAATAATTATATCATTAATTAATGTTAATGTTAATTATTAATAATTAATATTAATTAATATTAGTTAATTAATTAGTTAATTCATATTCTCTTGCATTGATTGATTGATTGATTGTATCAATCTCTATACCTCATGACGTCACTCGTCACGAAACCCACCTAACCATAGTTCTAAACGGGAAAAAAATCACAGAACATTGAATTGGATCCCAATGGCGAATCATCGTCCCCGAGATGGCGTTTACGCCTGGTTCGTCTGTATTTCTGCTGTCTTTTACCGTGTTTTGACGTTTGGATGTACGCAAGGTTTTGGACTTATTCTTCCAACTTTACTTGATGAATTTCAGGAAGGAAAGGCCAAGACAGGTTTGAATCAAAATAATACTCGTGCACTTCATCCTTGTCTTTAATCTCTTTAACTCGCATTAAGTATTTTAATACTTTAAGCATATTTAGGCGCATTTAATCGCATATGCACCTATTTCAATAAAAGTTGTCATCGGCAAAAGGCAACAAGCGAAAAGCGACTTTGGATTTTGGTCGAGAGTACCAAGTCGAGACTCGAGACTAATATTATAATATTATGATATATACATAATAATAATAATAATAGTACATGTTATGCCTCTTGGGAGTATTTGTTTCTTGGTAAATTTCGAAGATGTCACGCACCTATATCAGTTCATCATGTGTCATCATTATGTAAGCTAATATATACCACGATGCGGATCTCTAGCGTGACACGGGTGTCTCGGGTAGAATATAAATATTAAAGAAACCCTTACGGTAATCTGCGCAGCGCAACCAAACAATTTTTTAACCCCCCCAAAAAAGACTATATTCTCGTCAAGAGCATGGACCTTAGTGTTGAGACTGATTCAATGTTCTTTGTATTCAACGAAACCATGTCCATGTCGGAATGACCTACATTAAACACCCGCATTCGGAGGATTTCGGAGGTCAGGCTAATTGAGTTCTTATTTATCGGGTGCTTAGTGACAAATCAGCCTCAAAATGTTCTTAAATGTTTGTTTAGTAATACTATCCAAAACATGTTGCTAGAGGTATAATCAGATCATATTTTAGGAGTAATACCAAAACAAGACAGCTTGACAGCTGATAGAGTTAATGCCCGAGCAATCGCGCGCAACAACACCCAACAATTATTAAACTGTACTGTCAAAATATGCAAAATAAAATAACTTGAGTGAAAAACACTTGTGGTCAATATTTACTGCATTCAGCGAACGTCCACAATATGTTACACATAACACGACGAACAATAAAGCAAGTTTAACAAATTCACGTTTGATGATAATCATTGTCTGCATGATCTTCTACCCGACCAGAGAAACCGCAAACTGCAGAATCGAGGTCATAATTTACGATTTTGGGCGACTTAGAAAATTTCGAGTATAACTAAAATATTGTCAAACATTTCTCACAAATACGAGATCGAAATAAATATAATATAATCAAATTTGTCATGATGCATGACGTTCATTCATTATTTGCATATATCGCAGCGACAGTTGCACTGAGGTGAATCCAGCTGGTAATCACGCAGATTAAAAGATCAAGCGAAAACTAGAAAAACACTGAAATTTGTTTTCCGTATGAAGAGCCCCAGGGGTTCTCTTAAGCCCCGTTTACACTGGCGATTTTTGCTGCGATTTTTGTGGCAATTTTCGGAAATATAAAATCTCATGTCTCATCCTTCAAAAGAGACATTCGTCTAGGAAAATCTTGGTATCCTGAAAAAAACTTTACAAGTAAATTCTTTACCATTATTTATTATGGACAGGATCGCATAAAAATCGCAGCAAAAATCGCCGCAATACTCGCTAGTGTAAACGGGGCTTAAGGGTTCTGTAGGGGATCTATTGATAGATCTTGCACATCTACGAGATTGAAATAAAATGAAATTGAATTTCTTGAGGCGTGTAGTTGAGTTCCATGATACACCTATTTCAAAAAATGTTGTAGGCTGGATATCTGAAATCAGAAATCTGAGACCGATTGGAATTGTGGGGGACTGAGTGTTTTCTCGTTAAAAATTCGATATACACTTACCCAGATAGTTTGCCAGCGCAGGTCATCGCTCAAAGTCACAGGGAGCCCGGCTTTGGAATCTATACATGAATAAATAAATCAATAAAGTGCTTTGGGTTTCCTGTGTTGTAATTTGAAACAAGACGCCCATGATAAATAAGTCAATAAAGTACTTTGGGTTTCCTGTATTGAGATTTGGTAACTTGATAGCAGATTAATGTAAGTAATTCGAGAGCAGCTTATAATTCAAATTTAACGTATTAGTGTAACGCACGCCCTAGTAAATGGTAAGAAAGAGAGAAGCTTCTCTATTTCTTACCATTTACTAGGGCGTGCGTTACACTGATGTGTTACGTTAATCTGCTATCAAGTTACTGGTAGTACGATTACCGGAAATTCAACGTATCAGCGTCTTGTTTCAAATCTCAACACAGGAAACCCAAAGCACTTTATTGATTCATTTATTCATGTACAAATCCCAAAGCCGGGCTCCCTGTGTCAAAGTTAGTATTTAGATCTTATTAACCGAGCGGGAGGTCTGTACGGGATAATCTAGACCAGTCCGCGATGCGATCTATCCAATCAGATTGCTCGATTTGCTAGTGTCCAGGCTCTAAGATTCACGGTCATATAATAAATCAAGATATTAACTTTTTGCGAACTACTAATTCTACCAAATCATTACGTACATCCGGGTTAACACGAGATGCGCACGCACCGCCATGGTTCAGTGCACTTCACCAGGACGTGTCCCGTGTGCTTTTCTTTCGAACTGTGTAAGGCATATAGACGTGTCTTGTGCCTTCTTATGGTAAGAATATTTATTTCTACCAATATTTATTGTGTACAACGAGTTTGACACACATTTGACTAGCGACTCTGTCGCCTTAGTCTTACTACGTGGACGTGTTTCACTGTGTATATATATCTGATTAGATTGTACCTAATCTAGTTCTCATCGTTCTCTTTAGACGATGTCGGATATTGAGGAAAGCACTGAAGGGCTATCAAAAACATCATTAGCAGCCAAAATCGAGAGCTTTGTTGATCCCAATAAAGTGGAATCAAGTGATGCCTTCAAATCCCTTGTTGAGGAGTTTAGTGTCACTGAAAAGACTTCGGCCGCCATCAATGATGGTTTAGCTGAAATATTCAATAGTTTGCTAAAAGACAAACTTCCTAAAGAAAAGCTGTCAGGATTACAGGAGAAATATTTAAGACCAAACAACTGTCCTAATCTGGTCGCTTCTAAGATTAACAAACAGATTTGGCAACAACTTCACCAAGAGACGAGAAATTCTGACTCTGCACTCCAGAAGGCCCAAGCCCTATTGATATCTGGCCTTTGTGCCATACTTCAACTATGTAATACTTCAGAGGGAGASCAAAAGAGTACCTTGACTCATGCAGTCGTTTTGCTCCTTTCTGCTAACAGAGAGTTTAATCTGAAGAGAAGGGATTTGGTACGACCAGATCTTAATAAGCAATATGCAGCACTATGCAATCCCTCTACAGCTGTATCCACCTATCTGTTTGGAGATRAGCTTAATAAAGAAKTAGAGGAGCTTACCAAGTCTAATAAGCTTTGCAATAAAGTCACCCCTAAACAACGTACAGAACCTTACAGAGTTCCTCCCTCAAGGGGTCATGGACGTGGCCGCTTTGGTCCACATAGCAACAAAGGGAAAGGTCCAAAATATGGTGGATCACCTTTTTTAGGGGCAGGCCGGGGTCAGACCMGGCCCCAAAATCCTCCAAGAAACCAGCAGAACAAGAATCAGTAGAGCCATCAACGCAGGTAAGTTCACTCTCATGCTCAACTCCAATTTCTAGTGTGATTGCCAGTCAATGCCAGTTTAAGGCAGGAGGGCTACAAGAAGTTGTTAATGAATGGACTAAGATCACTGCGGATCCATTTGTGTTGGATGCCATAGCCCACTGCCATATTGAATTTGATTTTATTCCTGATCCCCAGATCAGTGTTTCTAGACCCCGCTTAAGTTTTTCTGAGTCAGAACAAACTATCATTGACAATGAAATAGCAAAATTCCTAAAAAAGGGAATTATTGTGTATTCCGTCCCTGAATTTGGAGAAATTGTATCCCCAATTTTCATTAGGCCCAAAAAAGATGGGTCCCATAGGGTCATATTTAATCTGAAGAGACTGAATGAACATGTCTCATACCACCATTTTAAAATGGATACTCTCGAGACTGCAGTTAAGCTCATGCGTCCTCATTGTTTCATGACTTCTATTGATCTGAAGGACGCCTACTATTCTATACCTATTGCTCCAGAACACCAAAAATATCTCAAATTTATTTGGGGAGATCATTTATTTGCCTTTACTTGTTTACCCATGGGTTTAACAAGCAGCCCTAGAATTTTTACCAAAGTTCTCAAACCTGTCTTTGCTACTTTGAGAAGCAAATTTGGCCATACCTGTTTAGGATATATTGATGACTCTTTATATGTTGAGGATAGTTATGCAGAATGTGAAGAGGTAACTTTGCATGCGGTCCAACTTTTCAGCAGTTTAGGTTTTATGATCCATGCAGATAAATCTGTTATTACCCCTTCACAATCCATTGAATTTTTGGGGTTTATCCTGGACTCTGTTAATATGACAGTGCGGCTAACCCTTAAAAAAGTAGACAAAATTATGCAGCTTTGTCAATCCTTTTGCCATCTGAATAAGCGATTTTCTATTCGTTAAGTGGTTGTGCTCCTTGGCTCCCTTGTCTCCAGTTTTCCTGGAGTGGAGTTTGGCCCTTTACATTACCGCTCTATTGAACTGGATAAAGAATTTCACTTAAAACTTAATAATGGCAATTTTGATGCAGAAATGTCATTATCTGCTGCTAGTCTGAGGGAAATTCAGTGGTGGATTGACCATATTCCTTCAGCCTCAAGGAAAATTCACCCTACAAGGCCTGACTTAATTGTTTACACTGATGCCTCAGAAACTGGGTGGGGTGCTAAAACAAGTCATGGTGATTCTACCTGTGGGATTTGGTCCAAACATGAATCTAAAATGCACATTAATTATCTGGAATTATTAGCCATTCAATTGGCATTATCTTCTTTGTGTGAAGTTCAGGGCCCACTCCATATTCGTATTATGAGTGATAATACCAATGCTGTTGCTTATGTCAATGCCATGGGCGGCTGTTAGTCAGTGGACTGCAACTCGGTTGCCCGTAACATTTGGGAGTGGGCTATTGAACGCCAAATTTGGCTTTCAGCAGCCCATATTCCGGGTGTCAGCAATGTTGATGCTGACCAATTATCCCGTAATTTGAACATGGAGCTGGAATGGATGCTCTCAGCATCGGCATTTCACCAAATTGTTTCATTATTTGGTCTACCAGACATAGATCTCTTTGCCAGTCGGCTCAATGCCCAACTTGAGATCTATGTCTCGTGGAAACCAGACCCAATGGCCAAGTTCATTRATGCTTTTTCCATTGATTGGTCTGGTTATTATTTTTACGCCTTTCCACCCTTTTGCCTTGTCTCTAGGTGTGTGCAAAAAATAATCCAGGAACAGGCATCAGGAATTCTAATCATTCCTTTGTGRCCGACACAACCCTATTTTTCAGTAGTCCTGAGTCTCCTCACCGAGATTCCTTATGTACTGAAAGCCTCCAATCACAACCTGGTTCATCCAACGCTGACCAGGCCTCATCCACTCCACAGTCGGCTGGAGCTCGTGGTTTGCAAATTATCAGGAGATCCTTACAAGAGTCAGACATTCCGTCACAGGTTGTCGACGTCATCATGTGTTCCTGGCGAAAGAACACCCACAAGCAATACAAAGTATACATTGAAAAATGGTTTTGTGGTAAAAAAGCAATCGAACCCTTGCATCCGACTGTGAAATGGTTATTAGTGTTCCTTCACTCTCTGTTCCAACAAGGATTAAGCTATTCAGCATTAAATACAGATCGTTCAGCCATCTCCAATCTTGATTTCAAGAATGGTTCCGGCGTCAACCCTATAGGCCAACACCCTCTTGTTTGTAGATACCTCAAGGGTGTATTTAATCAAATCAAGCCAGTTCCCAAGTATAATACTATCTGKCCAGTGGAAACGGTTCTTCAGTTTCTCAGTCTAATGTGGCCATTGGACAAGATCACCCTTAAGGAACTCACATTGAAATTAGTGATGCTGATTGCCCTCACCACAGGACAACGATGTCAAACTTTGTCATTTCTCGACATGTCGGAAAAGTACATGCAAATGAATCACAACTGTTACGACTTTGCGCTAACAGAACATCTTAAACAGGACAAACCAGGCAAGGTTTTCGGTAATTTAAGACTTTACAAGTATACCGTTGCAGAATTGTGTGTCTACACCACTCTGACATATTACCTCCAAGCCACTGCAGAGTTACGATCCTCGTCACAGTTATTGGTGTCGTACATCAAACCGCACAATGCGGTTACCTCATCCACCATTGGACGTTGGATAAAAACTTTGTTGAATCTAGCTGGCATCAATACCCAAGTATTTTCAGCTCACAGTACTCGATGTGCTGCCATGAGTAAAGCAAGCAATTCACTATCTGCTGATATAATACTTGCCACAGCTGGCTGGAACAAAGATTGTACATTTCGCAGATTCTATGACAAGCCTGTAGCCATAACCAACCAAATGAGTGTTAGGAATTTGAGAGAATTTTGTGCTCACTGCTTTCAAATCTCGTGTTAACCCGGATGTACGTAATGATTTGGTAGAATTGAAAATTAAACGAGACTTACGTGTAAGTTGAAGTTTGATGATAATTCTGCCAAATTATTAGTAGTACAGTAGGGTTAACATGCCCTGTATATACCCTTTATGTTTACCCACACTATTGTCCAGTATGGTTTTTGTTGGGTGATCACAAAATGTTTCTCTTTCAATCCTGAACCATGGCGGTGCGTGCGCATCTCATGTTAACCCTACTGTACTACTAATAATTTGGCAGAATTATCATCAAACTTCAACTTACACGTAAGTCTCGTTTAATTTTCAATTAAAACCACAAAACAATTTACAGCTTACAACCCACAATTCCTTTCGGTCTCAGATTTCGGATCTCCGACCGACAACGTTTTTTGAAATAGGTGCATACTCTTCATGGTTTTCTTTGGTTTGTGGAGTTCGGTTAATGATTTCGACACTTACACGAAGCCGCATGTAAATGTACATTTTTTTTACCCGGATAAAAAAAATATCCGGCTTCGTGTAGACGGGGCCTCCGTTGTAATTCAGATATCCTTGCTCTCGTCACGCTAGCTTTTCCAACACTAGACTCATCGACAACTCTAATCTAATCATACTTTTTTTTCCAGCTTGGGTCGGCTCACTGGCATTGGCTGTACCCATGACGTTTTCTCCCATTGCTGCCAGACTCATTCAGCGGTTCGGCGCGCGTTCAGTCGGGATAGCAGGGTGCTTATTCGCTGCTATAGGACTTGCCTTATCAGCATTCGCTACCAGTATTTATTTCCTCTTTGGGACGTTTAGTCTGATGTATGGCTTAGGTGTTTCTTGCTCTTATACCGCGTGCTATGATATTGTACCCACGTACTTCAAAAAAAGGCTTGGACTTGCGATTGGAGTCATGAGTTCTGGGACCGGAGCTACAGTTTTGATTATGAGTCCTATCAACGAGATTTTGATCACCAATGTTGGATGGAGAAAGGCTTTTTATGCTTTCGCGGGATTTCAACTTCTGTCTGGAGTATGTTGTTTAACCTTCAGTCCTGACGTCGAGCAAGATGAAGCCACTACACAAGAACAACAACAAAGCATTGCAGTAGTGTTGGGCCAAACCACATCTTTACGCAAGAATATCAGCTTTGTGATAAACTGTGTTTACAGTTTTTGTTTTCAAGTGGGAAATACTATCCCACTTATTCATTTGGTAAGCGAATATTTTTATAGTTTTTTCAGTTTTTACTTGGATCTATTTCTTCAATAAAGCACGCGAAAGTTGTGGCAGAACACGAGCGAAGTGTTAGGAGAAGCATGACGGGTAAAATTTTGCCTGAGGTATTCCATTTGAATCTGAGATATTCGGTTTGTGGAGGAAGGTTTTTATTGAGGTAGTTGAAAGCTAAGAATAAATAAAAAATCCATTCATTTCATTTAGGCGTTTTTTCTCTCTCCCATACATTACGCAGGGACGCTACGCTCTGGAGTCGGGACTCAGTTCTACCCAAACTGCTAATCTTTACGTTGGTTTTGGTGTTGCAACTATGGTTGGTCGTATTGTCTCCGGGAAAATCTGCGAATCGAGATCTTTTCATACAAGTTACATTTGTTGTAGTTTGGCTGGAGTTGTAGCAGGAGTATCCAACATTGTGTGTCCATTTATCCATGGTTTTATCGCACTAACCGTGTATTTCTGTATCAACGGACTTGCTGATGGCTTTCAAGTCTCTTCAAAAAGTGTCTTACTAATGGAGTCATGTAATGCACGAGAAAGAACAACGGCTTATGGCTACTTGTTTTTTATTACTTCATTTGGGTACTTGATGGGTCCCCCTTTTGGAGGTAAAGTTGATAATAAGTTTTTCTTACAATAGTAAATTAAAAAAATAAAAAATGGCAAGAGAAAATGAACTAAGAGAAGGAATCCCCGTGCCCCATCATGTGCACACTCTGATGCTATTTTTATAATCATTGATGCTATTTTTAACTCGTTACCATGCCCGCGCGATAATCATGCTTCCCTTTAATGCCTCGTTTTAGGACACGAAAAGCGCCATATTTCGCTACGTCCACGACAAAAACACAGGCTTTGTTTACTGCAAGACTGGAAGCCGCCTACCCTCAAGAACTCAACCAATCAGGTTCTTCGCTCAAAATGTCTCCAAGGTAAAAATAGCATCAAACTGTGCACATGATGGTTACAAGGCTATATGGGTAGGATTCCTTCTCTTGGTTCATATTCTCTTGAAAATGGGAATTAGCAGTGGCATTTCAACAGAGTAGCTCTTCATCCACTGTAATTCCAATTGGAATTTAGGAGTTGATTTATGCGGAGGTAGGAAAGCCGGGGAACCCGGAAAACCCTCGAAGCACAGGAGAGAACCAACAAACAACTCTACTCACATACGACACCGAGCTCAGCGGGACTCGAATCCGGGTCGCATTCTCACCGCTACGCCACCCGTGCTTCTCACAAATAGTTCCCACAAATAATATCATCATCATCCTCAGTCCTGATCATCATTATTACCACCATCATCATTACGACATCAACATCACCATTTATCATCTCTGCAATCCTCACTTTCATTACCCTCACCACCTTTATCTTCGCTATCGTCACTACCACCATCATTATCAACGACAGCATCACCACCACTTTCGTGAGAACAATCGATCATCATCATCATCACCATGCAGCATCTTTGAATCCTAACCATCACCATCATCATCATCATCATCATCATCACTAGAAGTATCATTACAGCAACATCACACCATGCATCATCTTTACATCCTCACCATTCAAATCAGCATCACCATCAACCTTATCATTTCCATCACCATCATCATCATCATCCCTACAAGTAACATTACAATGTAACACTATCATCACCCCACATTATTTTTGCATCCTCACTAACCCAGTAGAACATTTGCATTACGGCGTCATTAACTACCAGCACCGGCAGAATTCACATCACCTTGTGTGTGATAGCTTCAAACATGGCGGCGTTTGGTCACGTGTTATCTTAGCAGACATTGTCTTATTTTCTATGCAGGATTGATAGCAGATCAAGTTGGCTCTTACATCCCTGTTTTCTATGCATCTGGTTCTATCGTTCTATTCAGCGGATTTCTCATTCTAGCAGTCAGATGTTTTAGACGTAAACACAAAGAAAATCTGAGAACTGAAGTCAAGGTTTTGTTGGAGTACTGTGTTGAAGAGAAAGTGACAGTGGTATAACTATTACCACACGGACAATCGGTCAGTAAGGCCATGCATAGTTGATATTAACGCGGACGGACAGACGGGCTGACGGACGGAAAATTAAATATGCCGTTGAATTATATGTGTGAAAGGAAGGAAGGAAGGGAGGGAGGGAGGGAGGGAGGGAGGGAGGTAGGTAGGGAAGGAAAGGAAGGAAAATAAAACTTTGAATTATAAAAATAACGTTTATAAAATTGTGGTAAAAATAACTGTAGCAATACTTAACAAAACTAAGATATACAGGGAAATATAATGTAGATATAGTAGGTCGAGTTGAAATAAAGTCTAGTTTATTTTTTGGTCTTCCTGTATCCTGTGTTTTTAGTTCAGTACTGGGTCCTAGTAAAACAAGATCGAAACAGTTTTGCTGCAAAAAGCCTTCAACAAGCCAACAGTGGGCAGTTTTCGTTCAACTGAAGACGGAAGTGTGCCGACATTAAGAAAAATTATTGTCAAGAAAAGGACTATTTGGTGGTGTCTAATTTACGAGTCAGGATAGAATTGCTTATACAGACGTTCTCATTGAAAGAAGGTAAGTAATTTCTTGGAGGAAAAAATCTGTAAAACGGAAAGCTACTAGTAGCAAACTACAGCGTAGTCGCAGCTGTCGGAACTCTGTTGAACAAGCTATACGACAATCTTACACTGTAAGTCATTGTCATTAATGCACCTATCAATGTCTTGCCCCAACGGGGGAAGCCCGGGCATACACAGGCTATTGACATAAGAACCTTGGGGCTGCTAGGCTTTTATTGACACTCCTTTTTTTTTTCGTTTTCAGAGTAAGACCCTCAAAAACAAAATTTTTATATGGCCCTTAAGAGGGGCTCATTGACAATTTTTTTTCAAAGATGTCAGTAGCCCCTGGGTATGCCCGGGATATCCCCGTTGGGGCAAGACATTGATAGGTGCATAGTTGTGTGCATATCATTTGTGGGGTGTTTGTTCTGTAGTTATACGAGTTCTCTGCGTTACTGTTATTGCCTGCTTTGCTTATTGTTTCTTCGTGTTTTTGTACTTTCACCTGTCCCTTCCCAACTGTGTGATTTTATAGTTCTTCCACACTTTACTCTAGTGCTAGGGTAGGGAAGGTTTAAAGGTTTCACATCACAGCAGCCTGTGGCGAGAAAAGCTGTGGCCAAAGAAATATATTAAGTAAGATTTTAGAAGATGGCAACACTACAGTAATACAAAAATTTGAAAATTGTTCACATTTTAATATACCTGAAACAATTATTACATAAAATCCAATGGAACCTTTTGTAGTCTGGTATCCTAGTTACAAATTATCATCATCATTATTATTGCAAATCACTGGGTTTGCCCTTTCCTAGACTATGGAACCACATTTGCAAGCATGCTGACATTTAACTCAAACACAAAGAATCGAATATTAACATAAAATCAATCAAAACTCATCCTGATACTACAAAATTTACCAAAATTTAAATCTAAATGTGAACTTCTGTTTGGGAAGCATTCATTTTCTAGAAGAGGGGAGGGGCAGAAGGAAACTATTGAAAGGTCATTGAGTTCTTACACAGCCAGAAAGGGAAAATCATTGGTATTTATTTTTCATTCAATTCAAAATTTTACCACTGAAGAAGATTGCAAAACCAATGGGTAGGGTTATGATATTTATTTCTTTGAGAAGGAGCATTGTTGGTTTTTCTATAAAAAAATTTCGAAAGATTTCCCCTCCCCTTTGAAAGAATGGATGCTTCCTTACAGTGCCTGTATGGCAGCCGCAACCAAAGAAATAACAATTGCAACCTTGGAGACAGCAATACTCGATACTTTACTGCCTGGGTCCACACTTTTTGGGCAGAATGGGTTGTAATTGTCAAACTGATAGTCAAATGCCTCTTGGATGTCCCCTTTGAGTTGGCAGTATTTGTGAATAGTGTTTTTCACGCAATTCTTGACATTGAGGTATTCTCTGAAATGAAATAGTTAAAATCTCAATACAATAGACTGTGACTCCCAGGCATCATGTTTTCTTATTTCACACCAGGTGTCGATGAAACAGATACAGTCACTTTAATAGTAATGATATAATGATCATTGCTATTAAAGGGACACTCAGATGAAAATCAATAATAATAATAATAATAAAATTGGAAATGACTTGAAACTTGTTTAAACTTATCTATATGGCCCAGATAGTAGCCAAGCAACGTGTTTCCTTCACAGTCAAAAGTGGCAGAAAAAAATTGTCAATTTTATTCAGCATCTAAATTGTGAGTAAATGATGTCATTAACTCAACCCTATTGTTCATTTCACTTTTAACCCAAAATATCTCAACAGCGAGTGGCTCCCTGGCTAAAATTTTCACTAATCAGATTTCCATAATTATAATTGAGTCCATAACAAGCCGCAAGCCCAATTTTATTGCGAACATTGGGATCCCTATGTTACCATGGTAATAACCACAGAATGACAGACGAGTTAATTTGATCAACGCCTTGAGCTACTAGGGCTGCGAGAGCGAAGTGTCGTCGTGGTGCTAAGGTAATCAGGAAAGTGTTGTCGTGTTGACATAAAATTTTGGAGATGACGAAGCTCAAAATATATTGGATTAAGCCTTATTCGGCGATCACGAGTCTTTACGCGGTAAACTCAAAATTTATGATCACTGAAGTACTCGGCAAAGGAGGATGTAGTTTTGGTCTTCCACTGATTATGCCTTCCGTACATACAGTCCAAGTGTTTTCTCAGGATCTTGATCCTAACAGGAACTGGTACGCTCTGTCGACTGATCTATGCTGTGCTCCGCCGAACAAGTTTTGTCAAACAGACGTGTTCAAGCTGTTTCCCGACGAAGTTTCTTCATGTCTCCTAAGAAACTTAAGAGACAAAGATGGCGGACTGATCTCCGCGAAGCTTTTCAACTCTGGGGTCAAAGCTGTAGCAGAAAAAGTTTATGTTGGAACATATTTCGCTTTGATCGCTGGGAACTTGCGTCGAAGGAGTCTCAACGAGTCGAATTTCCTTAAATCAGAGGAATTCTTGGCGGTTAAAAAGACAATTAACCAGGCAAGTTTTATCCCGCCAAAAAGTCATTCGCCATCGATTCCAAGCCCCAAACCGTGTTCTAGCACTCCGATCAAAGGCTGCAGCTCAGATGACTCGCTACCTATGCCTGAGTCACCAAGTAATTCCTCAGAGTCATTTACGAATGGGTCATTCGCAAAAGATGAAAAAAGCGCGCCAAAATTATCCCCGTTATTGTGGTCTTCGAGTTCTTCGTCGTCCTCTTCTAATTCGGTCATTTCTTTCCAAGAAATAGAAGAGCACGATTACGAGCCTCAATACAAAAAAAGAAAGATAAGGGACAAGTGTACCAACATCATTAAAGAAATCTATAAGATTTGTCACGAGAATGGAGAAGAGTTAAACAGTGTTTTGGCTAGATGCTGCGTTTTTGCGCGGGGAAAACTGCCTGGTGAGAGCAGGAAAGTCATTCGTGACGTGATTTTGGAAGTTGAGGAGACTTTAGGACTAGAGAAAACCCTAGAGGAAATTCTCCCAACAGAAATTTTGGAAAAACAAGTCAAGAATATGAGTGTCCCGGACTGGCAGCTTCTATTGCTGAAATTGCAAGTACCTATATCAGATGAGGGCTGGCAAACTCTACTGAATGTTACTGAATTGGGAAAAAATGGGGTGAGTTCTAGTTTCTAATGAGAMTTTAAAAGTTTGTACAATTTCAATTGTGTATTGCATTTTTAATTTGTCGGGTTGATGGTAGGCCTAGAAGAATAATTTCGAGAGTAATATCAATTGTGCTTAAAAAGCGTCACAGTAGTGTCAAAAAAAATATTTGCACTAGTTATTTCATTTATTATTTGCTTCAGAGTTTCGTTTGTTTGTGTTCAGGTGTTCAAGTTCTGAGAGGGACAGGCCATTATTCCCTCTGGTATGGGTCTGCTACTTGAATGCATGGAGATTATTTTTGTTCGGTAGTTGTCAATCCATGGATTTTTCTAGAACAGAATTTTTTTGTAAATGTTAACCAATACGGTTTATGGGATTCAAAAGAAAAATTAACAATTTTCTTTCTCTACTTTTCTTGTTGTAGAGGTCATCAAGGGCCCAAGTGCTATTGTCTAAAAATAGCATTAAGGCTATTAAAAGTCTGGTATTTAGTAAAATTGAAGACCTTTTCTTGGTCGAGCCAACTGGAGATGAGGATATCCCAGGATACCAAGTAGCACTTGAGCCTGTTGTTTGCTGGCAAGCAAGGGAACTGCGGCTACATGGTCACCAGAGCCAGCATATTCAGTTGAATTTGAAGCTGGATGGCAGGCCATTTGGTGGTAAGATATTTTCATTAGAAAAATCAATTTTGTTCAATAATTTGTGAGAACATTCTTTGTTATAAAGAACAAGACTAGTGTGTTGTGACTGTTGCAACTTAGTACTGATTAACTTGTGTCAGTGTATTAGGTTTACATTGGAATGAGATGAAACTGCCATTTCATTATTTGCCACTCAGATATTCAAGTGATATCATGTTGTTGTTTAAGATTGAACCCATCATTGAACCCTCACAGTATTCAGCCAGATTAAAGCTAGCGAGCTAGCCAGGAGGAGATTGATTGATATTTCATCATTTCTTTCCACTCTAGGGAGAAATCAAGTGTTAGTTGGTGTTATACCTGCAAGTACTGTCCATTGGTCCAATCACAGTTCCAAATCAKTTTTCCCACTTGCAATAGCTAATTGTAAAGAAGAGAGGTGAGCATCTGCTGGCACATATTATATTGTTTTATATCATGTAAGAGCCCACTTCAAATTATTGATTTGATAAACAATTGTCAAACAAAAGTTTCAATGTTTAGTAGATTCATGAATGAATATTTTGTTTCTTTGCATATGTATGCTGCAAATCCTCGGTATGTCCTTTATCTAATGAATAAGTATTATTATTATTATTATTATTATTATTATTATCATGTTTTATTTTGCAATGTGCCAATCAAATAAAGCATAATCTCAAAAGTGGGCTTGTATATGATACAGCTGTTTTGTCAATGAGTGTGTGATGAGGTTATAATCTGCACAAGGTTATGAACATTATAAAAATATGTAATATATATATACCTACTTGAAAGAAGGTTGTCATACGAAAAAAGAACATTTGTAGTTTAGTGGAATAGGAATGCATTAAAAAGACAAAAGAAAATAACTGAAGCTGAACATCAGATCACTGAAGCTGAACTTTTTCTTTCGTAATTCAATTTATTCCTTTCTCACTAAACTACAAATGTTCTTTTTTTGTATGACAACCTTCTTGCAAGTAGGTGTATATCATATATAAGCTATTATGTTTGTCCATTTCAGAAAAACACTGAGAAGTCTTATTGCTAAACTGAATAACGAAAAAGATGCCATTAAAAAAAATGGAATCACAGTGGATGGCAAAGTTTATAATGTTTCGTTCARAGGTAATCACTTCAGTATTTTAATTCATAATTTCCTAATCATAGGGATTTTCTTAAGATAAAAATTATGAAAGATCTAACTGCAAGTATGCTCACAAGCATTTGTATTCTATTTGCACCAAAAATTTCTAAGTGAGAATGGAATGCAAGGGAATCAGAAATCAATTATTTTTATCTGGAAAAATATGTGTGTGTATGTGAGTGAGTGGACTGGTTTGCAAATTACAGTATGAATACTTATTTTATTATCTTTTCTTTTACAGTGACTCTAGACTTGAAAGCATTATATCTTCTCTTAGTAAAAGATGATGACGAAGACTTTAAGCTTGGAGGGAAAGGGCTGGATGTGGAGTTTTGCTTCATTTGTCAGGCAATKAGAGTAAGATAATCAAAATATCAGTGATCAAAATACAAAACTGACAGAATCATGATTATTTCATGATTATTATTATATGCAYATWTATATATGAGCTCATCACTTAGCTTGCTGTTTCCAAATCAAAGCCCTTAAAATTCCCTTTTGATAATATTACACATAAAATGAAGTACATTTTAATAAATTTGTAACATGGACCTGTAGAAAGTTTCCTCTGATAATTTTTAACTACCACTTGATTGCACACATTATACATGCATAATAATTATTTCACAACAGAAAAGTGTTAAATAAGATGTKTTGCTTTCATTTATTTGACAGAATTGTAACTGTGATCTGGGTCCCAATACTGTATGTTTACAACATTTTAGTGAAACAAAGGCCAATATTGGAAGGTAAGAAGCAGCACATTATAAAATACATTAACAGAACATTATTTTGTTTTTGACAACTTATCATAATATACCTTTGTGTTTAGGGTTTTTCATTAACCTTTGCAGTAAAGGGAGAAGACTGTGAACTAACCATAGTCTGACTGACTATACAACTACTCTTTGTTTACGATGGCACTGAGTAATAGTTGGAGCTGTTGCAAATATCATGATAAACTATGTATAGTTTTTAACTTCAACCAAGCATAATTTTAAAAATTAACTACAAAGCTGCCATTGTTAATTTCATTGAGATAATTTTCCTTAGTACTGTAGCATTCTTAGATCGCCTTACTCTTAGTGCAAACCTCAATGTGTGTGTGTGTTTTTTTTTATTATACAGTGCTAGCTTCAGGGGTATCAGGGATGATCTGAYCTTCTTGTTGGAAGAGGAATTAAGTTCAATCAATCTGTGTGTCCTTCATTGTGAGTTAAGGAATACAGAACATCTCATTGCATCCCTTGGGCTTCAGTGCTACAGAATAGGCACACTGAAGCAATGTAACAAGGCCTTGTCCAATTTTGGACCAGAAACAACTGGAGACAGAATCACTCTTAAGTTAAAGGAAGGACAACAAACTGCCGTCACAAAGCAGAATATCACAGTCAAATCATTTTCAGGTGAATTGAGGTTTGGGATTRATACTTTTTCATCTACTTTATTGGCTTGCTTGAATTTATTATATTTTACGTTGATTTTTTGCACTCACAAGAACACACTCATCCCTATGTATATACCACAATATAATGACTATATTTYGATTACACCTATCTCAGTCAACATTCCCCCTCCCCTCCCTTCCTAGGCTGGGTCCTAGTACCTGCTCTTRCCAGAAACTTAGCCTTGCATAACCAAAGGTTGAGCATGCATTAAAAGCAATATTTTTGCCATAAAGCCCAATATGGTATTTCATAAAATTTTAAGTTTTTGTGAAGCTTAAAAACAACTGTTCATGATCMTTCCTTTTATYTTTACRAAACAAAAATTMWGAATTATGAATAATTGTAGATTATTGTTTTGTTAGTCAGATGGGCTTTGAAGTAAGCAGTCAAAAATATYTAGTTAATATACATACTTATATTTATTTATTKATTAATATTATWTTGTTTTAAGGAAACACTGAAAGACGTATCCTTGACAACATAGAGGAARTTTTGGAAGATTGCTTGCCCCAGGATGCCATCAAAAGACAGTTTGACAACCCAATAGTTGCAAAAGAATTTTTGTTCAACAAAATATCCTTTTGTAGTCAGCAGGTAAAGGTAGGTTATCCCAAACAATGTGACCTAACAGTAAAAAATGTAAACCAGTTCAATAATTTTGTTGCTTTGACCACAATCCCTTACAGTATTACACAGGCTTAAAGACTAAAGACACTTTTGTGAGGGACTTTGGTAAATACCAAGAAGAGATAGCACTATCTACTTCAGGTATGAACGCTTCAATAATATTTATKTGTACCACATCTAAATAAGTTTTTTAATTTACATTTTATTTTCATTTTAAGATGCTGGGAAGAAGGTGGAAGAGTACCTGTGCATGTGGAAAGAAAAGGAAAAGGATATTTCTGAGAAATTGYCCAAACTGATGTCTGTATCAAGAAGAAAAAAAAGTGTTRGTAGCATAAAATAYGTCAATCAGCTGAATGATTATGCAGCACAGATTTTTCTGGAGTTATTCCTCAAGGTAATCATGCAATGTTATTAYTGTTATTTTTTGGAGGAAAAGGCATTTTCTAAAATTTAAACAAAAAGCAGAATTAATTATATATGTAGCATGCACTGCCATGTCAGTCATAAATTCTCATCAACTTGACCCAGATTCAACTGCTGTTCCCACAAGGCTTGTTATTGTATGTGTTAGCTGTGGTTAGGGAGAGAGAATCAAGCCATACTAATTTTCCTCTTTCTCTTTTCACTGGTCTAAGCTTTGAAATTATTGTTCTTGATTGTTCCTCATCATGATCATGAACACTGTGAAATCATTAACTTTTTAATATAAAATTTAAGGTTTTCACTGGTTGGAGAGAAATTGCAAAAGTCATGAGAAAAGAGGTTTATGGAAAGGATAAGCAGGATTCTATTGATGTGTATGATTTACAGGTTTGTAAATTATCATTTAGTTATCCTAAGCTGGTGTGAACAAATGCAGGCACCTTGTTCCAATGAACATCAYAAGGACATCCAAGAAATAACAAAATTAATAATAGCTCAGCCCAAGCAAAACAAAATTCAATTGCTCAATTAGCTCATCTTTGTTCTTGTTTTATTTTWATTTTTTATTATAGTGCAAGGAATGGGGTTTTCTGCTGCGAGAGATGTTTGGGTCATCACTAGGGACTGGGGACTATGCCCATATGACCATAGAGCATTCAAGCATGCTGTTGAGGCAGTTTGGTAGCTTGAGAGAGTACTCCCAGCAGTCCATTGAGTCAGCACATTCATTGCAGAGACAACTTTATGCAAAGGCAACTTCTCACGATAGGCATGGCTACACTTCTTCAAGTGAGTACTTTAAGATTAAGTGCTTAAGATTGCTTCAAAACGCAAATATCATTATTGTTAATAAGAGTGATTCATTCTTTTTTCAACAGTTAAGCAGATCATTCTTCACTTTTACTCTGAGCGACTTCTTTTCTTGAGATTATGCTTTAGAAAAGCTTTGGAATGTAATTTGAAAGGTATGAATGATATTGCTCTTACATGTATGTAATTGATATTGTATGATTTGAGACAGAAGCCCTATTGTATTAGTTTCTGTTATCACTAGCCCGATACAATTCAATTTACCTCTCATTGTAAAGTAAACTTGTAAAAGAACCATTTAAAACCCATTGCAGCATGTTGAATATAACAGAATGCAGTCTTTATAAGAAATTGTCAGTTGAATATGTAATAAATAATGTATCTTCCYACAATTCTTGGCCTCAGCTTTGTAGCTTTTCGAGGACAAAATTTGTATATTGGAGTTCCTGTGTCCTGGTTTATGAAAATGAATTGGCTGAAATTATTCATGAACTTTATAATGATAATTATTTGTTTTATTTTATGATAACTGTATAT